CTCACCTCAGCCTCCCAAAGGCACAGGATTACAGGCTGAGCCAACGAGCCCGGCTCATATCAAATCTTCTAATCTGGGGTCAGTGAACTTTTTTTTTCTGAAAAAGGTTAGGATAGTAAATATTTTAGGCTTTGAAGCCACAATCCAAGAATCCAAGAAGGCATAAAAAAATGGCATTTCCCAAGCCGGGCTCGGTGGCTCAGCCTGTAATCCTGCACCTTTGGGAGGCTGAGGTGAGTGGATTGCCTGAGCCTGCGGGTTCGAGACCCGCCTGGGCAGCAAGACCTTATCTCTACAATAAATAAAAAATTAGCTGGGCGTGGTAGTGCGCACCTGTAATTCCGGCCACTCGGAAGGCTGAGGCGGAAGGATTGGCTGAGGTGGAAGGATCGCCTGAGCCCAGCAGGTCGAGGCTGCAGTGACCGGAAGCGGCCACTGCACTCCAGTCTGGGCAACAGAGTGAGACTCCAACTCAAAAAAAAAAAAAATTACATTTCTCTTGACTGTTTCATGCAGTGAATTAATTTATGCACTTTAGTTCACTTGATCTCTTCTCCATAATATGTCGATGTAGTTGCCAAACTCTCTTTGCCTGTCTTATGCTCAGCCAGATCTACCCAGTGTGAGCGATTTTGCATTCTTTCCCCTGAATCTCAAACAGGTTCTGGCCATTTTTCTTGGGTAGGGGTGGGAGGTGAGGTAAACTGAGATAAGTACGGTCATGCTGTCTAGGCTCTGCTTACTCTTTTAAAAAATTATTTTATTTCACTTATACATAATAGATGTACATATTTTTTGGGTATATCTGATAATTAATACATTCATATAATGTATAAAGATCAAATCAGGGAACTTGGGATATCCATCACCTTAAATATTTGTCTTTATGCCAGAAACATTTGAATTATTCCCTTTCACCTTATGAAATATGCATACTTCTCAGATTTGTGGAGCTGTCTTGAGAGGCTTCTCACCAGCCAACCCAGGAGGGACTGGACTCCAGTCCAGGCTACAGCGCCTTCCCAGTTCCCGGTCCAGTGTGGCCCATTGCACTTCACCTCTGTCAAGGGCTCAGCCCCTGCTCTTTCTCTCATCTGTTACTTCTCAGAGGGAACAAGGTCAGGACGTCTGTGCATTCCTGCCTCCAGCCCTGGCGTGTGGCTGGGAATTGCGAGGCTTCCGCCCTCCTCGTTGCCCAGGCAGGAGCAACTTGGCCAAATCTCTCTTCTCCTCCATCGGCTGGAGTTTTTACCTGGACCACCAGGCATCAAGTGTATCACCCTTTTCTTCTTTGGCTGCTTTACAGATTTTTTTCTTTTCCCTTAGGTTTATTCATTCTTGTTAGCTTTTACTATTTTACGTTTTTTTTTTAATGTGGGTTCTCTTATGTGCCACAGGAGGACAGCTCTGTTATGTAATTGCAGCTTGCCATCTTAACCCAGGATACCCTGTTGGTTTTCTGTTCCCACTGCCTGTGCAAATCCCTAGCTCGAATTTTCTGTTCCTCCATCAGATCACTTAAGGTTCCATTGGAGCATGGAGTCTTTGTTTCTCTGAGTACTGTACTGTACTGTAGACAAAACGGACTTAACAGGGTTTATCTGAGCATTAAAGGATTCATGAATCGGACAGCACTCAACATTGGAAGAGGTTCCGAGATCCCTGCTCCCGGGCTGAGCAGGAGCTTTTGCAGGCTGATGTGAAGAAACTGCTTTTCGGCTGCAGCTAGGCTTTGCCTTATTTGGTTCCAGTGGGTGGTACACTATACAATCAAGTGGATGGTCTCTATCTGTGACTGGTTGAAGCTTGATTCAGACTTAGTCACAAGGAATAACCTCAGAGCTCCATTTCAGTTTGTTTTTGTGCGCATTCTGGGCACAGACACAACCCCAGGCTATTGCCTCCTGCTTATATTTCTTTAATGAGTTGAAACTGATTATTGTATGTAATATGGGCCCAGCTTAGAACTCTGCAGCTGGGACAGATTCAGGGAAGATAGCTCCTGTTACTGCCCAGCTATTGTTGCATGTGATCCTGTACTAAGGAATGTACTAAGAGACATACAATTAGAAACCAATTTTTTTTTTGGAGTTGGAGTCTCACTCTGTCACTCAGGCTGGAGTGCAGCAGCATGCTCATAGCCACCACAGCTTCGACCTGCTAGGCTCCTGTGATCCTTCCGCCTCAGCCTTCCAAGTAGCTGGAACCACAAGCATACGCCACCATGCTTGGCTAATTTTTTGACTTACTGTAGAGGCGAGGTCTTGCCAGGTTGCCCAGGCTGGTCTCGAACCCGTGGACTCAGGCAATCCCCTCGCCTCCGCCTACCAACGTGCTGGAATTACAGGCATGCGCCACCGCACCCAGCTAGAAACCAATTTTTAATAATCCTTTTGACTGTGGAAAAGGAGGGTGCACCATCGCTTAGGGAGGTTGGCCGACTTTTCTTGTAGGGCTTCCATGGAGCAGCTAACTGTGGAGATACTGACTGTCTCCTATGTTAAGGAGGGAAATTGGGCCAACGACCTCTTTCCCCCTTAGGGACTCTTTTGATGTGGGCTGTCTGTAGTGTCAATTGTTCCTGGAACAGTAACTTCCCTCCTCCCCCTCCCCTACTAACTGAAGAGTGTCTACAGCTGCAGGCTGCACATCGCACAGCCATGCTACCTGCAACACCAGTTTTGTTGTGCAGCCAGTACATTCAGGCATCTAAAGACATTTAGGCTTGTTTAAATTTGCTGGCAGCATCTTTTAAAACATTAAGAAAAGCATGTTTACGTAGGGTTTTTGAAACTGGTAATACACTTTCCTTCGTGTTTGATCTCTTGGTGCTTGAGAGAGGGTAAGACCAGGTGCTGTGTTGTAAACATGAGTCATGTAATAGGAAGCAATCTGAAGTTAAGGTGGGTTGTTTTTCCTGATTAAAAATTAATGTCTTCATTATAGGAAATTTAATAAACTTTTAAAAGAATAAAAAAGAAAAAGATACCTAGTTTTGTGGGAGTTTTTTTGAGACAAAGTCTCACTCTACTGCTCAGTCTGGAGTACAATGGCATAATCATGGCTCACTTCAGCTTCAACCTCCTGGGCCCTGGTGATCCTCCTGCCTCAGCCTCCTGAATACTGGGACTACAGGCACGTGCTACCGGCTAACTTTTTAAAATTTTTGTAGAGACAAGGTCTCGCTATGATGCCTAGGCTGGTCTTGAACTCCTGGGCTCAGGCAATCTTCCTGCCTTGGCCTCCCAAAGTGCTGGGATTACAGGTTTGAGCCACTGTGCCTGGCTGAGTTTTCTGTTCTTTCTTTCTTTTTTTTTGAATTGGAGTCTCACTCTGTCGCCTAGACTGGAGTGGAGTGGCCGCTCCTGGCCACTGCAGCCTCGACCTGCTGGGGCTCCGGCGATCCTTCCGCCTCAGCCTTTCCAAGTAGCTGGAATTACAGGTGCGCGCTACCACGCTCAACTAATTTTTTGATTTATTGTAGAGATGAGGTCTCACCAAGTTGCCCAGGCGGATCTCGAACCCACGGGCTCAGGCAATCCACTCACCTCAGCCTCCCAAAGCACAGGATTACAGGCTGAGCCACCGAGCCCAGCTGAGTTTTATTTTCTATACATATTTTTAGAGTATTGATCTTCATACAGTTTTGAACCTTTTAAAAAATACTCAGATTTCTCAGCGGTGGCACTGTTGGACTTTAGGCAGGATGGCTTCTCGCCATGGGCACTGTCCTGCGCACTGTAGGATATTTGGCAGCAGGGCTGCTTCTACCCACTAGATGTCAGTAGCACCCCCGTTCTGTGAAAGCAATGGGTCAGTCAAGTAAAGTAAGCCCAAACACCAAAGAGCCGAGAAACCAAAAAATGAGGCACGCCGATCCAGTTTGCCGCTGGAGGGAGATGTGTGGGCAATATATGGAGTGTGGACAGAAGCAGAGTCTGAGACGGCAGTGAGAGGGGGGTCTCCGCCCTGCTCCCCCAGACTCCGGGCTTGCCCCACGGGACAGGGGTGCATGCTCCGTGCGGGATAGTGAAAGGCAGAACAGGCCGCAGTGCTGTGGGTCTCAGAGCCTGTCCCTGTGTGATGACCTCAGGGTTGTTGGCGCTAAGCTCAGGATTTATAGTGAGCACATGTTCTTACACTAAGGACGGTGAATCAGGTAGCAGATGGGGGCATTCCTAGGGCCAGGCTAGGCAGAAGGCAGCTTGGCAGACTAGCATCCAAGATAGAGTCTCTTTTATCTTCACGTAGCCACTGCTCCCACCAATGTCTCCAGGCGTTGCCAAATGTCCTGTGAGGGGCAAAATCACCTGGTGAGACCTGTTATTTTATACTTTGTATTATAATATAAGCACTTCCTCATGTTATTATAAGTTTATAAGCACCATTTTTAGGGGCTTTATAATATTCCACTGTATATATCATCTTCAGTCTTACATTAACTAGTGTGACCTTGGCCATGTTTAGTACGTACAGCTTTGTAAAATTATTCCATAACTAAGCAGATGCCATATCTTGCAATCTACTGATGGGAGTTTTTTTTCTTGTAAAAATATGTAAAATTTATCATCATAGTCATTTTAGCTGTATAGTTTAATAGTGTGAAGAATATTCACATTCTTGTAGAACAGTGCTCTATTCTGATAATACTGTTTGCTAGTTGAATGCACAAAGTAATGATTTTTTTTTTTTGAGTTGGAGTCTCACTCTGTCGCCCAGGCTGGAGTGCAGTGGCATGCTCACAGCCATCCCAGCCTCAACCTGCTGTGCTCCGGCGATTGTTCTGCCTCAACCTTCCAAGTAGCCGGAACTACAGGCATGCACTACCATGCCCAACTAATTTTTTGATTTATTGTAGAGATGAGGTCTTGACAAGTTGCCCGGGCTGGTCTCGAACCCACAGACTCAGGCAATCCACTTGCTTCGGCCTCCCAAAGTGCTGGGTTTATAGGCTGAGTCACCGAGCCTGGCCAAGTAATGATTTTTGTTGTTTTTATTTTTATTAAAGGACTTTACCCTAAATATATGCTTGTTTTTGTTGTGTAACAAAACAGAAATAGCTTTTTTTTCTTAAGTATTGCAAACATTGAATATATTATCAATTAAGTGCAAGGCCGGGTGCAGTGGCTCACACCTGTAATCCCAGCACTTTGGGAGGCTGAGGCGAGAGTCTAGCTTGATCCCCGGAGTTCGAGACCAAAAAAAAAATTAGCTGCATATGGTGGTGCACACCTGTATTCCCAGCTACTCTGGAGGCTGAGGCAGAAGAATAACCCGAGCCTAGCAGGTCAAGGCTGTGGTAGCTGTGAGCATGCCACTGTATTCCAGCCTGGGTGACAGAGTGAGACTGACTGAAAAAAACAAGTGAGGTGCAAACTTGATTTCCAAAATGCATTTTTTCAAACCATTTTGTATACTCTTTTAGATTCCACTCTTTGGAATCATGTCGTCAGACTCTGCAGATCCCTTCTACTGGATGAGAGTCATTCTTGCATCCAACAGAGGTATGTGCTGCTTTTCTTTTTGCCTCCACCCTTCTGCTGATGTCAAAGGAATGTGGCCTAGCCACGACCATTCCTTGTCTGGAGAGAGGGGGTGGATATCGGTGTCCAGAAGAATGCCAGCCCTGTGTGCTTCTTGTGCTGACTGCGGACTCAGTGCCTGGTTCTCGTGGTCTGAAAGCCTGATCTGCAGTGTTAGGGAGGGGATGCTGCCAGCAGCACTTGACTTGGGGTCCAGGGTGTGGGCCAACTGCGGGAGGAAAGCCTGACCTCAGGCCCCAGCACGTGAGGTAACGTGGGTGGAAGTGCTGGTCAGTGAGGCTGGCGAAGGGGCGCTCGCGTTTAAGGAATCATGCTTGCCTGTTTTTTGGAAACATTTTAAACAGTTGGCAGATGATTTTTGTGATTTTTTTGTATTATCAAAGTAATACCGATTTATTATTTTCAAAATGCACTAGCAGGTTGGGCTTGGGGGCTGATGCCTATCATTCCAGCAGTTGGAGAGGATTGCTTGAGCCCAGGAGTTTAAGACCAGCCTGGGCAAAATACTGACCCTGTCAGGCGTGGTGGCACATGTCTGTAGTCTCAGCTCCCTGAGAGGCTGAGGTGGGAAGATCACTTGAGCTCAGAAGTTTGAGGCTGTAGTGAGCTGTGATCACTCCACCGCACACCAGCCAGAGCTACAGAGTGTGACCCTGTCTCTTAAAAAAGAAAAGCACTAACAATTTTTTTTTTTTTTTTGAGTTGGAGTCTCACTCTGTTGCCC